CAGCTGGAGCGGCTTGACAGCGCCGGGTTCGTTTTTCTAGAGTGCGCAATGGACGTCCCAAGCAGTCCGCCTTCATGCGCCACTGCTGCTGGAGGAAAATGGTGGCAATAGCCATGATACTTGGAGGTTCATGGGTACTTCTAACCCCACTGATAAGTCTACTTGTAACCTACTTAGGGGACCTAGGGGGTTTAAGAGTGCAGTTATCGTTGGGGTTATAAGTGCCCATGAACCTCCAAGTACAGCTGAAGAAATAGATATGTATATAACATTGTATACATATGGCTCACTGCATGGACGAAGGGGGGATCCTTAACCGCCATAAGCAAGAGCAGCGGCTGGCCCCAAGAACTTCACTCCGAGGGGCTTGGAACCATAGGAAATCGCTCGTTTCATCTCCTCCGGTGTCTTTGGGGGGTCCTGCGGCTCCACGAGAGGCTTGTGGTCGAAGGGTGTGCAGTACTCGACGAGGACATTTTCATGTTGCCCACACTTCCCACACGACCCGCCTCGACCGTGTCTCGGAAACTGCTTGCAGATCCAACGATGTTTGCAGACAGGGCACTGCCCGACACAACAGTAAGGCTCTGCATTCTTGGCGTAGACATGTCTCCAGCTCGCCCGCCACTTGAAGCAGGACATGAAGTAGAGGATGAGGTTGCCCATGATCCACACGGCCGCTGCCGCCCGACTGAACCTTCCGTCCCACGTCTTGCACCAAGTGTCCCAAGTCTCCCCCTCCCCTTCTTCCAGGATGTCTGGCTCGGTGCAAGCAGCGGAAAAGAAGAGCGTTTGCAGGCAAAGCATCACAAGAAAAAAGCATGCCAGCAGTATGTACCAATCGGCCGCTGTCAGGTACTGCTTCTGAGGAAGCTTGTCCTCAATCACATAGCGGTAGGCCAGTACGGCCAGGAAGCAAGTGCTGAGATGGCCCAGGCGACCACCGAGGTCATTTGGCGGAATGCGCAAACCGCAGAGACTCACGGTGTTCACCATGAAGACCATCATCAGCACGCTGTGGAAGTAGTAGGACGCATCGCGCTCCACGTGTATCAGCACCGTGGCGTTGGATCGCTGGGTCATGAAGTCGAAGTCGCTGTCGCAGTGGCGCACGTACAGCATGCTTGGCTGCTCCTTCGGGGGTTTAGGGTTTAGGGTTTAGGGTTTAGGGTTTAGGGTTTAGGGTTTAGGGTTTAGGGTTTAGGGTTTAGGGTTTAGGGTTTAGGGTTTAGGGTTTGGCTGTTCCCCTGCTCCTTGCCCTCGTGCGGGAGCTCACCGAGATGGCTCTTCTTGTCACAGCGCGACAGCTCTTCTCGGAAATGTGCAGGGCCCCACCTTAGTTGTCCAGTAACCTGGGGGAAATAAAGGTTAACCTTTGGGGTTATAGGGGGGATTATACTACCCCAAAAAAAGGTAAAAGGTTACCTACTCTACTAATTACTAGGCCACATGTCACACATGGCGATGCTTCCCCAGATGTTTTTCTTCACCGGCACGAACTGGAACTCCTCCGCCGGAAGCTCCGCTGTGAGCTTAATCCTACAGAGTTGCCGGTCAAGAGGAAAGCGCTGGAGCTCCAAGGACTCCGAGAATCTCGCTTCGTACTTCGCCCGGTACTCTACGAAGCCTCCTGTGCCATCACACCACCTGACCCGGCGCTCCTCAAAGACCGTCTCGGCATCCTGGCAGATGTTTGTGAAGGTGTACTTCGGGAAGAAGTAGTGCTCCCACTTCGGCTCGCCGACAAACGCATACTCTCCGCGCGAGATGCTGTGCAAAGTGGGGTTCGCGTCCGTGTCCTTCTCCCCCACAACTACATACTCAAGGTCCCCATTCTCGTACATCTTGGTGATGAGGACGTCCAGCTCCTCGATGCCCGGATGGATGTTCGTCGGTGTCTGCGTCGGTGTCTGCGTCGGTGTCTGCCGCCGCAGAGCGAGCTTTGCCCTGAAGTTTCGGAGGTTCGGATCCTTCCACATCAGCCTCAGAACAAAAGACACGTGGAACTCCTCCGACTGGTTGTCGACCTTCCGCAAGTTGTGCGTGCCGATGGCCGTGTAGACCCTGATGGCACGCTCGCAACTGATCGTCTCCTTCTCCCCATTCACGTACATGGTAAGGATCCCGTCTTCATATCCTAGGGAACTCAGCTTTCCCCTTTCCCCCCCCCCCACACCACACACACTCACTACCGGGGAGAAGCTGTGGCCCCAACGGACTGCTAAACAAAAAATGGCTTCCCAGTGCACACCGAAGCCTCCCGCCGGCATGAGCCCATCGGAAGCCTCAGAGTTTTCAGAATCCTCGGAATCCTCGGAATCTGACGAGGCACAAGACCACAGGAGAGCCTCCTCGTACTCAGACATCAGGACACCGGCAGCTTCAATAGGTTCACCCTAAACCCTAAACCCTAAACCCTAAACCCTAAACCCTAAACCCTAAACCCCCCGTCTCCTTGCCCCGATAGCCCTTCTTTGGGGGTACCATGAGTACCTGTGCCCTGAGCCGACTCAAGACGCGAGCACGAAACGTTCAGTCCCAAGGCCACTCCGAGCCTCCCATCGTGCCCTTCAACAGAAACCACGCATTGGGTTTAGGGTTTAGGGTTTAGGGTTTGGGGTTTAGGGTTTAGGGTTTAGGGTTTAGGGTCTAGGGTTTAGGGTTTAGGGTTTAGGGTTTAGGGTTTAGGGTTTAGGGTTTAGGGTTTAGGGTTTAGGGTTCAGGGTTTAGGGTTGCCCTGCAAGGCGATTAACCGGCGGAGCGATGCCAACACAGAGGCGGTGGTATCGATTGACGGTGACCTTGCCTCGTGTGCAAAGATTTGGCACATGATTCAAAAGCATGTTTCGTGTCGCTTTTGTTGGGCTATCTGTGTCTTTCTTGTTTCCTGCTCTTTGCATCTTTTTGGGGATATCTGCGTCTGTATTTTCCCTCGCGGCACGGAGCTTGCCACGCAGCAAACTCAGCGGAGCTGTAAGTTGAGTTCCTTCTCATTTTTTTTAAGCGGGGCATCTGCATCATGTTTTGGGAAGGGCTGATTTTGCATTGGGTGGGCCAAACCCTAAACCCGAAACCCGAAACCCTAAACCCTAAACGCTAAACCTGGTGTCCAGGTCGCTGCAGGGTCTTACAGCTTTCCTATCTGCCAATGTCTCTCTGAGAAGATGTGGTCTTAAAAACCTTGCAGACCAAGAAAAGCTGAGCCCCCCGGCACACAGCGCAGGAAGGCGGACGAAGGAAGTCACCCCAGGCGGTGTTATGTCAGCCCAACAACAGCAAGACTGCAAGGGCACATGGCTTTTGTGAGCATTCGCCCCTTCTACAAAAAAGTGGGTTGGGAAGCCTCACAAAAACCGCATTTGCAAGCAGTTTTGAAGAGCCAAACTTCAAGGGCCCACGCAAGGGACGCATCTCGGCCACTTGCCACTTGGAGGTTCAGGGTACTTAGTAACTCAATGATAAGTGTAGCTCTAACCCACTTCTCCGCCCCTTAAGCACCCTAATTGTACCATGAACCTCCAAGCGACCCATCTCGAGCCGAGCAAGGGGGGTTGGGACGATGGTTTATTGGCATGGTTCTCCGGCGAGCAGCTCGCAAGTAGAAGGGTTTAGGGTTTAGGGTTTAGGGTTTAGGGGTTTAGGGTTTAGGGTTTAGGGGTTTAGGGGTTTAGGGTTTAGGGTTTAGGGTTTAGGGGTTTAGGGGTTTAGGGGTTTGGGGGTTTAGGGGTTTAGGGTTTAGGGTTTAGGGGTTTAGGGTTTGGGGTTTAGGGTTTAGGGTTTAGGGTTTAGGGTTTACAGCTCGCAACGGCCCCAAAACCATGCAGCAGGGTCGACTTCAACCTACCACGCCTCCCCACAAATTCTTGGAAGACCACTTTCATCCTCGAGGCTGGTCACGAAATCCTTCACCTTACTGTTGGTGAGTATACGGTACCATATGTAATCCCTTAAAAGAGTACATATAGGGGGATACCATATGTAATCCCTTAAAGAGTATATATAGGGGGACATATGGTATCTTACTCCCAGTTCGAAATCCTTCGCTGCCGTTGCACCGCCACCTGCCTTGTCTGGCTTGGCCCGGCTTCTGGCGCCTCTGCCTGGCTGGCATCTCACAGGTTTCCGTGGTTGTTGGCCTCTGAAGGTAGCTGATTTTGGAATTTCCGTGGAAAGACGCTGAAGCAGGAAGCCGACGAAACACACGGCTCGGAAGACCTACAACAACCAAAAGCTCTGATTTGGAAATGTCGGGAAGCACCAGGCTTCCCGATCCCTCTCCAAACTTACGAACAAAAACGCCACCTGTAGCATCGCACCTACCCTAAACCCTAAACCCTAAACCCTAAACCCTAAACCCTAAACCACCTCGGCAGACGCTGCCATTGACAGAGCTCCCAGGGCTGGCAGCTGCCGCACAAGCGATCACGCTCGAAGCTGGCAGGCTGCATTCGGCTCTGGGTTGAAAGTCATAACGTCGGGATAGGGTTTAGGGTTTAGGGTTAGGGTTTAGGGTTTAGGGTTTAGGGTTTAGGGTTTAGGGTTTAGGGTTTAGGGTTTAGGGTTTAGGGTTCAGGGTTGAGGGTTGAGGGTTCCGGGTTTAGGGTTTAGGGTTTAGGGTTTAGAATTAGGGTTAAAACTGCAGTTCGCAAAAAGCACAAATGCTGTCTGGAGCAGTCTTCCGACTACCATTACTGCTTACTCTTGTCATGCCGAGCATTCTGGATTTGGCGACTTCTACATGTGAGCTGCCGCAGACGCTGTGATGCAAATCCCAGGTTGAGCAACATGGATGCAGCTGCTAGGTGTCGGCCTTTCACACTTGCTTTTCACGCCAATTGCAAGCTTTTGGGGGTAGGAATTCTGCTTGGACCTCTGACTTCAGGCGCTGGGCTTCGGGCATTTGCTTTTTGTTGAACGCAGTAGGGGTCTGCTCAACGGCAGTTTCAAAGCCATGGAGCTACTTGTCATCGGGCAGAGCAGCTCGAGGTCTGCGGATTCACTTTGAATCTTAAGCTCTTGGAGCCAGGATCTTGTATGCATGCTAGCATCCTTGAATACACGTCGGCAAAGTCATAACGTTCTGCTCTCGGAGCTGAAATCTGCTTGGAGGTTCATGGTACTTAATCACCAATTATACCTGTACCTACAACTGTACTTATAAAAATATTCGGGCACTTGAGGGGCTTATAAGTGGGTCACAAGTGCATAACTGGTTAATAAGTAGCAACCTCCTGCTTGGAATCCAGGGATTGGACCTCCTCGCGGGCGATCGCCGCCCAAAAGCCTGTCGCTTCGCGGTGTGAGGGTGCGGAGACGCACTATGGAGAGAGAAGAGTCGTGCCCGTACTTGGGCCTTTAAAGAATTTGCTAGGTGGCACTGTGCGCACCAGTTTGTGCGCCTTCTTCGGCCGTGGGACGTGCATCGCAGGATCTACGCTGGACATCTTTGTCTTGCCGAGTTTGTCCTTTACAAAACCGGAACAAAGATTTCCTTTCATCCGGTCAAACAGCCACCGCGATCTTTCGCGATCTATCAGCGATGGCACGACAGCCAGGGCATTGCTGGTGGGCGGAAGGTAAATCGTCGGAACACTGACTTGGCCTTTCTCGTCGCAGTGTGGATGCATCAGCGATTCAATGGGCAATGCGTTGGCAAAAGTCAAAATGGCGCGACCATGCGCGAAACAAAAAAATTTTGAGGCACATGGAATATCCACGTTCGGGAGGGAACCCTGTACCTCAAGAACTTGGTAGCGCCGTCATGTGCATCACGCACAAATATCATCATATATCGACGTCCGTCTCCGTCGAATTCAAAACTCAAACCAAAGTATGTGGGCAGCCCTCAGGTAGTGCTGTCGCAGACCTGCCAGCAGCACATGTCTTGGCTGCACTTAGGAGGGTAGTTATAACTTAAATTCTTAGCTGCCTTATTAAGAAACCCAATAAACCCAAAAAGGCTACAGTAAGGATCTAAAGTTACAGTAAAGCACCACAAAGATTTCAATGAAGCCATCCTAGCCTCGCCTGGGATCTGGTGACGCGGAATGTGCTAGTCCCCCTGATGAGTTTAGGGTTTAGGGTTTAGAGTTTAGGGATTGGGGTTTGGGGTAGGGTTTAGGCTTAAAGGTTTAGGGTTTAGGGGAGCACATGGGTTCGTGCTTTGCACTTGCCCACCTGTCGGGTGTCGCCCCAAGCCTGCCTGAATAGTTACACTGTGCTCATAACGCGATCATGCCTGAAGCGCGATATGTATGTATCCATACACATACACATATACATACACCGCATATACATATACTTTTACATATACATATACATATACATCTACATCTACATATACACATACACATACACATACACATACATATACATACACATGTGCACACAGTACTGTACTGCACGCTACTACTGTGGCATACCAGTACCTTTGTAAAAGCACGATGGATAGCCTGTTGGGCTTCGGGGCTCTTCACAAGCCTGCAGGAAATCCGGCTTTGCCTCCCCTGTTCTGCCTGAAGTCTAAGCCCCTCAAACCCTTGAAGCCCTTAACCCTGAACCTTTAACCCTAAACCCTAAACCCTAAACCCTAAACCCTAAATCCTAAACCCTAAACCCTAAACCCTAACCCTAACCCCCAAACCCGTAACCCCCGAGACCCGAACACCCTAAAGCCTGACCTCCTGAGCTGATACCCCTGCTGCGCCTGGGACCTTGGTCCGCGCTTTCGACATACAGCAGGCGTTCGGATGGGGACCATGCTCCTCTGACCTCAGGACGGGGGGAGGGGGGGTCCTTTTAGAAGCGAATTCTACTCTATTCGGCAGGAAAGTTCAAGGTTTAGAAAGTATAGTTCCCCACATCACTACGTGGGGTTCTTGTTTATCTTGGCACCACGGCGCCCGCATCGCGCTCGCTCCGCATACTCGCGCGCGAGCGCATGGGCGCGCGCAGGCAAACATGCGCGCAGACATTCACACGCGCACACAGACACATACAAAATCAGACGCACGATAACATACATACACATGGTACATACATGCACATACCACGCATGGGACACAGGAGACGCACAATAAGCGCACGCTCCATTGCGCGTTTAGGTGACCCTACCTGGAAATGTTTTCGCTTCCTGTACGGGGGCTCCTCTTGGCCGTCACGTGTTCTTCTCTTGTCTGCCTCGAGTCATTCTATGTCGTTCTCTTTTTTTCCTCTTTCCGGTCACGGTTTCTTCTCTTGTCTGTTTCAAGTCATTCTATGTATTTCTCCATGTTTCCTCTTGGTGGTCACGTTTTCTTCTTTTATTTGTCTGTGTCCAGTCGCGTCATCGTTTCACTCCTGTCGCGCGGTGCCAAGAAAGAATAGAGATGTGGGGTTATCCGGCACTAGATACTGTGTCAGGAAAGTTTAAGATTAGAAGAAAAACAGCTCATGCTGTGTCCTTGTCAAGGGTACCCTAAACCCGAAACCCTAAACCCTTAACCCTAAACCCTAAACCCTACTCTTTTGCATGACCTTCAAACTTCAAGAGCTCCAGGTCGGGACTGCTCATGATGCAACGCCATTCCGTGCCATTGCAGAATGTAGAGTTGTTTAGCAGAGTAGCAACCCTAAACCCTAAACCCTATAAACCCTATAAACCCTATAAACCCTATAAACCCGAAGCCCTAAACCCTAAACCCTAAACCGTAGACCCCAGACCGTAGACCCTAGACTCTAAACCCTAGACTCTAAACCCTAAACCCTAAACCCTAAACCCTAGCCTCAAAAAAGTCAGTGTTCGAGTGCGGGGCCGGTCCGTGGGTTGCTTCTCGATTGGCATTGTGCTCCTTCATGACTGTGATTGCCTCCTGCAAAACGAATTGAGGGTTTAGGGTTTAGGGTTTAGCGTTTAGGGTTTAGGGCTTAGCTAGCGTTTGACCTTCCAGTGTAGAGTCCGAGTAATCAAAAGTTGCGGAAGCCTGGCTTACAATTTCAAGCCCCCGTAGTCTGACTGCTCAAGTCGTAGAGTTGACAAGGACTAAAGTTAGTTTAGGGTGTCGAGTAAGACAAGGGACAATATTTGGGGTTACCCCTTGCGGAGTTCACAACCATGATCCCTCACCTGAGCCCCCGGACTAAATGACGAATATCCCCCTACACTGAAAGAATCATATCCGGAACCACTCCAATCACTGAAACTTCCTCACATCGAGATCCTGCAAGTACGTACAAACTCACCGTCCCTGTTCCCTGCGGCATTCGCGACCCCTAAGCCCGCACTCCGATTCTGTCCTGGGAGTCTTTCTCAGTGCAGGACGCTATGATAACAAACTTGCCGTCTGCCGACGCCGACAGCAGCTCGTCACCTTACGGACTCTAGGACTATGTGCGCTTTACACGGAATAGGGATACCAGGATTAGGGTTTAGGGTTTAGGCTTCAGGGTTTAGGGTTTAGGGTTTGGAATTTCGGGATTCGGGTTGAGGCTTAGAAAAGCTTGCCGCGAAAGCTTAGGGGGCATGCAGGGGAGATCGGATGATTTTTCAGACGTACACCGTACACGGGTGGAAAGTGCCAATTTTCAACATTCTTTCGTTTCCCCTTCAAAATCTCGATTACGACGAGGCCTTCAGACGTGAGAAAATCACACAACAGAGCCACAGGCTAGAGTCTGCCAGCCAACCGTAGAATTTGGGGGTAAAAGACCTGGATTTTACCGTCGGCATCTTGAGTCCCTAGCCAACTTCTCTCTGCAATATCCTCTTTCACGCGGTGCTCATCCGACTCACGACTTTGACAATAAGCTCTGTTCGCTAGCTCACTTACACACGTCTTCAGAGTAAATCATCAGGACAACAAGATAAAGCTGAAAAAACAACACATATTTGCCTTATCGCATTCGATGGGTTATGAAGATGATACTAACAAGGCATAGGAGATGAATATGGCTTTCTCTTCATCTGGCCTGTGCTTTCCTGATTCTGTACGTTCACTCCTTTCCTCGGGCAGTAAGAAACACACATCGCTGTGCGAAGCGAACACACTACATTAAATGACTGGCAAGCAAAATAGGCCTTTTTGCCCTCTTTCAAGTAATAGCGTGTGTGAAGAGAGCGAAGGCCAAATACACCTTATAACATCAATTAAATGAAGGTGCCTGTAGACCATTAAATCTTCAATTTTGTTTGTCCACATTCTTCTACTATTGTACCATCGTACACCCAACTACTTGCCAGAGAACCCCAAAAGCCAAGTGGGCCAGCACAGTTTCCGCTCCTGAAGTGTCGGATTTCTCCTTGAAACTTGGATCCTGCATGTCCCCACAGTCGAACAAACTAAAATTCAGCACCAAGCTGCGTAAGCACTCCAGGGCCACCGTGCGCGAACTGATCACATTGAGGGGTGTGATCTCCAGTCCCTGCACTGGGCTTCGCAGCGAAAGGGATTTCGATTGGAGAGAAAGTATCTATAGATAGAATACAAATATAGTAATATCTACTCACAGTTTACAGTAGACAGTAAGACTGTACCATAGCTTACGTACCGGACGGAACTGTGTAGATGTCGTAGATGTCAGTTGTGAGGCGAAGGCTCAGGCGCCATTGGGAATCAAGCGGTTTTCTGTTCCTTCAAGGGCTTTACTACTAGACCCAAACCGTGATGATCCAGGGTTCCCTTGTCAAGCACTATACTTACGATACTAAATTGAAGCATACTATTGCGCACTGCACTTGCTAATTATAGCATAGTCTGGCCGGTGACACATGGTTGGGATTGCGTGTGTTGAGCTTGGAGCTAGACATTGGTGATGGCGGTCATGCTTGCACCCACATGCAGATTCGCAAGCACTAAGTTAGGCGTAAGATCGCGCAGAATCAGCACTGCGCCAGCTACTACCGGTATTACTACCCGTCTCTACAAAGTAAGAACCTCAAGGTGTGTGTGCGAAGGCGAGAATCTCCAATCCCCCCCACCGGATATCGGGCAGACCAAGCGATCATGAAGATGGTTTCGGGCCGTTGCTCAAGGGGGCCCAAACCTGATGACGGCCTTCGCCTTTGGAGCCTGAATATGCAAACAACCTAAAGCTGTCTTAGCCGGAACCACAAAGACCTGTTCAGTGCCTCGACCATGCAAAAAGGAATCACGTTGCCGCATAGCCCTCAACATCAACTCCAATTGAAGGCTTGAACCGTGCTGTATTGCTCCAACTTCATGCGCCCGAGCCTTGCTGTAGAAAGGATAACTTTGCTCAGTCTCGGCGCGACGCCTTCGATGTCAGGGGTCTAAACGACACAGAGCTTTAGGGGCTTCGCGGCTTAGAGGTTTAAAGGTAGGGTGAGGGTTTCACGCTCAAGGCTTAGGGACTTGTTCAAAGCGCTTGCCAGGCTTCGCAAGTTGCGTCAAGATTTGCCAAGCTTCTTCTCGAAGGCTGGGTTTGAAGGATCGCTATCCTCAACCTCAAGAACCTCAAGCGGACCTCAACACAAGACTCAAGACCCGACAGAATGGTTGCCTGCAACTGGCTTGACGACGGCCTTTCCTTTTTCTTAGTTTGTGGTACACATAGAAAACAGTAGAAGCCTCCCACTCTCGAAATCTTTGGACTTCATACAGAACATGTAGCTAGAGGGGCTTCGGAGGCCTGCCCCGAGGAAAATAGACAATTTAGGCTTTATGGTTGATGTGCTCCGATAGGTCAGCAACAAGTCTTGGGCTGTTGGGTGTTAAGGTCCTGCTTCATCTAACATGAGGTTTTTGTCCATGACAGCTGTCCTAATTATATTGACAATGATACGTTTCTCCATGGGGGTTTGCAACATTTGCCCAGTTGTCTCTGAACCCGAATCCGCGTGTCCGACAAGCTCTGCTGAGGCAAAGGCAAGTCTTCTTGCAGGCAGCACCTGGGCGAGTCTAGTTGTTGAGGTTGGGTGCAATTGGTGGTCCCTCATGAAAGGGGGACGAGCCAGTTCAACAAGATACAGAAGGGGACGAGCACAACGCAGACCTCCACAACGGAGTGGTACTGGCAGAGTAGAAGTAGTAAGTAGCAGTAGTGCCGTGGTGGGTAGCAGTTGCAGGCGGTAGAGGTAACGGCCGCAGTGGCGGTAAGTTGCATAGACAGTGCCCAGCTCGCCCCGTGCGTTGCTTGCAGCTCACGTCGTCTCTGCGCTGTAAAATGTAAGCCTTACTTCCTACCTAGCCTATAGAGCCAGCCAAAACCATAACAACGACTGTTCGCGTATTGAGCTCTTGCTTGTCCGTCCCCGGCGTGGAATGGCGTGGACACGACTGCACTGCTTGTGCAGGACAATCAGGGCACCCCGGTCCCATGTGCCTGTCGTTTCCACGACCATAGGCACAAGACAATTCCCTGCCTTTCGCAAGCCTGAGCAGTATCCAAATGTGCCTGGCACAGGCAGCTGCCGCTGCGGCTCTCTCTGCCAACGTTTCCCGTCGCTGCGGCGCCGTAGCGGCGAAATCGCCAGAAATGACCTAACCCCCCCGCCCCCCCCCAAAAAAAGAAACCCCACCCGTAAAATACACTCGAAACGAAGCTTAGAACTCGAGAAATTGTAGTGTTGTTCAGACGCATGAAAAAAATTAAGCCTGCAAGCGTGAAAAAACAAAGAAAACCCACCGAGAACAAAAGTCTTCTGGCAAGCCTTCCAAAACAAGCTCAGAAGTCGAGAAAGAACACTATTTTGCAGATTGACAAGAATGAAACCACGTAACATGAAAAAACCCACAACCCCCCCCCCCCCCCCCCCCCCCCCCCCCCCCCACCACGTGGATGCGAAACCAACTGAAAGATCGGGAAGTAACAGCGTTATAAGTCAGGAAAAGCACAGCGTCAGGAACCAGGCATGATGCTAGTACTGGTATGGTAGTAGTGGTAGTGGTAGAAGTAGAAGTAGTAGTAGTAGTAGTAGTAGTAGTAGTAGTCGTAGTCGTAGTCGTCGTCGTCGTCGTCGTCGTCGTCGTCGTCGTCGTCGTCGTAGTAGTAGTAGTAGTAGTGGTAGTAGTAAAAGTAGAAGTAGAAGTAGAAGTAGAAGTAGAAATAGAAGTAGAAGTAGAAGAAGTAGTAGTAGTAGTAGTAGCAGCAGTTTCAGTAGTAGTAGTAGTAGTAGTAGTAGTCGTCGTCGTCGTCGTCATCGTCGTCGTAGTAGTAGTAGTAGGAGTAATAGGAGTAGCAGTAGTAGTAATAGTAGTAGTAGTAGTAGTAGTAGTAGTAGTACCCCGCGCGTTTGTAGGAGACCCTGGGTGTTTTTGCATGGGTGCCATGCTTCTCTCTCGTTTTCGATGGTCGGGGGGGGGGGGGGTTTCGAATCCTTGCCCTGAGCTCCAAGACCTTAGCTCCGAAGTTTAGGCTCCAGCCTTTGGGGTGTCGGCTGTATCAGTTTAGGCTTGAGGTCACCTGAAAGGCCGGAAAGTGGTCTATGCCATGCAGTCAATTCCGGAACACTCACAAGAGAAGAAGCAACTACTACTACTACTACTACTACTACTACTACTACTACTACTACTACTACTACTACTACTACTACTACTACTACTACTACTACTACTTCTGCATTTCGAGAATTTCATGCTCTTAAGGTAGGAATAGCAGTAGTAGCAGCAGCAGCGGCGGGAGCAGCAGCAGCAACAGCCGCAGTTGTAGTGGTAGTACTAGAAGAAGATCAAGTTCGACTTTGGGGGAAACACCCTAACACAAACAGCCAGAAAAAGCTTAGTGCGGTCACTCAACAGTCCTCTTGCTTCGCACTGCTGGCAACGATTCCGTGCGGACTCGCACCAAGTTCGAGCGGTCTACCAAGAGCTTAACCAACAGCAGCGCGTGCAGCTACAGTACACTACGATGGCAGGTTAGTTACGTTATGCTTGGACTGACGCAACTCTACCTCAGCAGCCTGAGAGTGTGGCGGGCAACGCCCCAGGAGTAGCAGGCAGAGGCATGGCAGCTCCCAAAGCAAAACCCCTCCCCCCTCCCCCCGCGAGCCGCTGATGCTGCCGATGCTCGCCCCCCCGGATCTTCAAGGAGAAACGAAGCCTCGATGATGCGCACTCCTGGCCCCCACCCGGCGCGCAACATGAGCATCAGCGGCTCATGGCTTGAGGCATTATGGGGGCATATGCCGGCCTTAAAACGGAAATGTCCGTAACAGCACGAAAACCACGGTATTTACAGCGTTTTCTGCGTTTTCCAAGCTCGCACGCATCCGAAACCCGAGACCCAACCCGCTGATGCTCATGATACGCGCTCTTGTGGGGGTCCTTTGGGTGGCCGATGCCCCCCAAAAAACATCAACAACGCGTCTTCGGCAGAAGTTAAAAAGTAGAGTCAATGATGCTCTCCAGGGTCGTTTTTGGGACCCCTGCCGTCCCAAAGCTAAAGCTAGGGCTTCCGCCCTAGCAGGCACACAGAGGGGCGTTGCCCGATTTAGGAGCCTCCGGCTCAGGCCGCCGACCCAAGAGGCCCTAAACCTCTCAACGCCCAAAGCTCAAATCCCCCCAACCCGAAGCCCGGAACCTTAAAAAACTCTGCAAGTTGTTTTGGGGAAGTGTCCTGGCTGCTGTTTTTGGGGGAGGGGGTGGGTGGGCTGGGGGGGTGAGGGTGGTGGGGGGTTTTGGGGGGGGTGGGGGCGGTGGGGCGGGTGGGGTGTGTTGGGGGGGGGTGGGGTTAGAGGGTGGTGAACCGCCATAGTCGGTGCGTGTACGCCGTGCGGGTGGCGCCGTCCTCCATGAAAAAGTTGTGCACCGACCCCCCACCCCCCCCCCCCGGCGTTTTAGGTTCCCTCCCCCAAAACCATCCAACACGCCGCCAGGGTCGGCGGACCCTGAACCCTGAACCCTGAACCCTAAACCCTAAACCCTAAATCCTTGATTGGGGTTAGGGTCTAGGGTATCGGGTTGCTTGAAGGGTGTCCCTGTGGAGATCTGACCTGGAGGCCTTTCGGAGTGCAGGGCCGAGGGTATCGCGGACGGCCAACTATCAACCACTAAGCCCAAAAGCTTGGGCTCTACCATCATTTGTAGGCCTCTACTATGACAGAAATGCTCGCCGGTAACGGGGCTTGTAACAGAAACTGTAACGGAAACGCAGTCAAGTCGATGTGAGCTGTACAAGCAACAAGCAAAACGCACGAAGCGAGACAGAGTCAGTCTGCACAACCTACGGCTCTCAGTAGTGGTAGTAGTGGTAGTCATGGTATTGGTAGTACAGTGGTAGTCCTGGTAGTGGTAGTACTAGCGGTGGAGGTGGTGGTTGCAGCTTCGTTGTTGGCCGTTGTCGGTCGTTGCTGCTGCTGTAATGAATGTTGAGGAAGCTCTCTCTGGGCCCTTGGCCACTCGAACGAGCTCGGACAGATTGCCATGAGCACAATTCCTCCAAAGGAACGTTTGAGAAATTGGGTTGTAGGGCTTGTTCAAGGTCCCATCCTTGGAGCTTAGGACGATTTGGGAGGAGCAGTTCTAAGTTAGGTTTCGAGGACAAGTCCTTCTGGCAAGCGGGGGCTTTTTTTGCCCTAAGACCTACCACATACCTGGGCTTTCGCAATATACATCCCAGGTCTTCAGCAAGCATTTCCACTCAGGCTAACACTTTGCTCACTGGTGGACAACAGTGCCAGTCCTGTTGCGCCATCATCATAACATCCTTGTATTGCACTGAATACCTGACTCGTCCAACCAGCCAGAACAGCAACAAACACGGAGTGCATAGCACAGTCTTACTATGTGAAAAAAAAGTAGAGCAGCAAAAGGTACGATCTGTTTACCACAAGGGACCGACTGGAGGTAATGTGCATACCATTCCGTGTCTCGCAAATCCACGTCGCTGTTCTCGACCTGGTGTACTGCAAACGAGGAAGCCACATGTGGGTTCCTGGTAGTTTACATGTGACTCTAGAGGCCGAACAAACACCCTCTGAACACAGGTATGTCACAGCGTCGAACCAAGAACGCAGCCGCCGCTTAGAGAGCGAAGGTCTCAAAGTGTGAGTGCAAGAAACAGGGAAGCAGCAAGAACAAGATGTGACTCTCTTGCTCTTGGGACGGCAAAGCATCGTAAATTGCATCAGCTGCCTTACTGTGAGATACTGCACTGTCGTCTACGGTAGGTTTCCGCAAAATTGATGCAGCTTTCAAACAAATGTCAAGATTTTCGCACTGCCCCAACTCAATGCTACCACAATCACTTCAAAATCCTCTTCGACCGCTACAAATATGCGGCTTGTACAAAGCAGGCACCGCACTACAAAGATGGAGCATCGGCTTTCAGTTTAGGACTATTCAGCAGCTGTCTTTGGGAGCTAAGTAGGTCATATATCATTGAATGCAATGGCATACTGCAGAGCGCATGTTCTACGTTTTACGTATTACCAAACCCTAAACCCCAAACACTAAACCCTAAACCCTAAACCCTAAACCCTAAACCCCAAACCCTAAACCCTAAACCCTAAACCCTAACCCGAGTTCGTGGGGGAAGGGACTCTCCCCCGCACGCCATAAAAAGAGACGACGGCCCCTACAACAGCAACGACTCCGGAGCCGATGCCGGCGCCTCCCCCGGCAGCTTCGGAAGCTCGCCTTGGGGTTTAGGGTTTAGGGTTTAGGGGTTTAGGGGTTTAGGGTTTAGGGTTTAGGGTTTAGGGGTTTAGGGTTTCGGGTTTCGGGTTTCGGGTTTAGGGTTTAGGGTTTAGGGTTTTCATATTTCGATGATTGCGATTACGATCGTTGCTACTGTTGTATTCCGTTTAGTAGTATCTATTGTTAACATTGCTGCGCCCTCAGGCTGCAAAAGCCAGGCTTGGATTCAAAACTCTACTAAGAGCCCAGCCTAACCTTAAATGCCTGGGTCCTCGTCACATCACAAGTAATTATGTCTAAGTGCTGTATCAGAAACATGAACGCAGCCTGCCCCACCCTGGACTGATGCCTCTAACCATACATGGGAGCCGCTGAGTCGGGCACGTGCGCAAACAGCACCAGCAGGACCAGCAGGAGCCAGCACCTCAGGGCTTTTTGGATGAGGGTTTAGGGTTTGGGGTGTAGGGTGTTGGGTGTAGGGTTTAGGGTTTAGGGTTTAGGGTTAAGGTTTGGGGTTTAGGGTTTAGGGTTTAGGGTTTAGGGTTTAGGGTTTAGGGTTTAGGGTTTAGGGTTTAGGGTTTAGGGTTTAGGGTTTAGGGTTTTTTAGGGGCCCATAGGGATGTCGCATGAGACGGCGCAAGTATTCCTGCAGCTAGCGCACCCTCGCGGCTTCATTCGCATCTATGTTGTTTCAGTCCGTGGCTGTTTCCTTGTAAGCAAAAAAACCCTAAACCCTAAAACCCTAAACCCTAAACCCTCAAACCCTAAACCCTAAACCCTAAACCCTAAACCCTAAACCCTAAACCCTAAACCCTAACAACCCCAACACGGGGCATTGTGCCAAGGTGCCTGGGACAGACGTCTTCCGTTCACGTCCATCGTGACCGTTCGGAAGGTTGCCAGGCCTTGCTGTAGGAGAGCCATGCCTGGGTGCTTTGTTTGCGAGTTTAGGGTTTAGGGTTGAGGGTTTAGGGTTCGGGGTTTAGGGTTTAGGGCTTAGGGTTTGGGGTTTGGGGTGTGGGGTTTGGGGTTTGGGGGATGTTTGCAACCACGACCAATCCATTCAATTGGATCCACCATCAGCCCAGAGAATTTTACAAGCACGCTGAAATCTAAACAACTCCACAGAGGCTCTAAACACCATCCAACTTGGTAGCCGGGCTGCCCTCTGATGTCACCTGGGCGTTTCTCAATTTCGGGTTTGTATAGGAACCCAAAGTCAAACCAAATAGTAGAATTGGAACCTTCACAATGCCCCCGCCCACTCCCTCCCCCCATTGCCCGGTACGGACGCATACTCTTTGGAAGCCCCGCCTGTGCGTCTCGAAGGGATAACTCTTCCACTGCGGTCCCAGAAGAGAGTATGTCCGCAATGACCGCAGCTTCCGTGTCTCCAATCCCGCAGTTTATGAGGTAGACGTGTCGAGCACGGCAACTGAGGGTGGAGAAAAGAACATTTAGGGCTGAGGGTTTAGGGTTTAGGGTTTAGGGTTTAGGGTTTAGGGTTTAGGGCTTAGGGTTCAGGGTTTAGGGTTTAGGTTTAGGGTTTAGGGTTTAGGGTTTAGGGTTTGGGGTTTAGGGTTTAGGGTTTGGGGTTTAGGGTTTAGGGTTTAGGGTTCAGGGTTTAGGGTTTAGGGTTTGGGGTTTAGGGTTTAGGGTTTAGGGTTTAGGGTTGTTGAAGTTCTCAGGATGAGGCGGCGCCCCCAGTAAGCGGCTAAGGCATCGATTCCTGCCTCATCACCGCTTGTACTCCCTGACATCCTAGAGACGTGTCGGCAACCGTGATGGCGTTCAAGAATCTGTAGTGCGGAAGTGCCTGGAGGCCGCACCCGAAACCTCTTAAATTTGGGGAGGTGGGGGGGGGGGGGGGGGATACTATTGGGTATCCCTACAACAGGCAGGAGAGTTCCCGGCATTCACGGGGTCCTGAGCGTCGGGTTTGATTTGCTCGTGGGCGCAATGACTCTATTTTAATGTTCGGTCCCAGATCTCGTTTGCCTGAAAATGCCTCTTCCGGGACAGTGTAGTCTTAAGGGCTAATCTCGTTCAGTATAAACTAGTACTTGTGATTTTGTTGCCCTGAACCTCCGCCTGGTAGCCCGTAGCGCTTGCATGAAAAATCTTGAAGATTTCGAGACTGTGGGCGATCAAATGTCCGAGACCTAAACTAAACCTTCCAGCCCTGTCTGAATCATTGGCCTCTAATTGTTCCCAAACCCTAAATCCCGTGTTCATGCCTTCATGGCCCTCTGTGGCTTCCCTAGCTGCTGTCGTGCAATTTGTTGGACCACGTTTGGATCTCGTTTAAAATCGGTAATCATGGCATGAATCTCCGGCCTGCCTTTTGCCACACATCCCTTCAACCCAACCTGGGCCTATATCTCATCTTTACTCCTCTCGTCGGTACATAAACGCCGTTGCTCATGTGCATATAGTATGTGTACGTAAACAAGTATAAGTATAAATATCTTCATTCCACAACATGATCTCGTTTAAAGTTCGGCCCCGGTCTCGTTACCGAGAGAAAGCAACACCCCAACCGAAAAATAGCGCACGTCCAAAGTAACTCCTCTCGTGCGTAAATAAAAGCCGTTGCTCGGACCTGGGAGGTTACCACGTGAGATTCCCGAATGCGTGCTGGTAGCAGAAGGGCTCTCGTTGTGACTGTTCGGGGGCATGGGGGAACGGACCTGACCAGAACATTTCTGGTGCCTCGGCGTTCACAAGTGTCCGTGAGTGTTCGCAAGTGCGCTCGCGAGTGTCATGGATCCACAAATCCATGCCAGAGGAGATGCTGCGCAGAGATGCATCTGTGTGTTCACATGTGTCGCAGTGTGTCGCAGATTCGCGATTCCGTGCGCAAGCCCTTGTGTGAGGGAGCATGGGCCTGTGTTCATGCATGTCGTGGATGTGCGAATTCCTGCGTGAGGAGGTCCGTGAGTTCGCATTCGCGTGTGCCCATGCGCGTCGCCGATGGGGAGAATCCCGGCGTCAGGAGGTGCATCGCGGACGCGAGAGTCCCATGTGCGAGGAGCCCACGCTGCCTTGGTTCGAGGTTCGAAAGGCTGGGAAAGAGGTTGTGACAAGGGCCCTGGCCAGAAACTAAGAAGAAGTCGCGAGAGACAAGACAAGGTCCCGAAGGAGTCACGAGAGAGGGGGTGAGGTCCTGGAACAGATTACAGTAAACTCCAAAAAGTGGGAACATCCTTGTCCCCATACCCCAAAAGGTATCCTAAAGGGGATCCCAGCCATAATCATCCTTAAACCATGTTCCAAGTTTATGGAGTTTACTGTAAGAGGAGGCCACGAAAGGATGACGTATGTCTAAGGCATGTTGCTGCTTTACGACGTTTATATTAGGCTTGTAAACTATCTTGCAAACGATACTGAAGAAGCTTCAAAACACATGCAAGTAAGGCTTTATCAAAGGATTCCTAAACCTCCTTGAAGGTTTTCTAAGGCATGTCATAGAGCATGACAAATCTGTGTACTGTCTGCGAAAACGAAGGCGTAGTACGGAATGGCCTTGCAGAGAACTTCGACCTGTTCGGACTCCAGACCCCTCAAGTTCAAGAACTGCGTCTTCGAAATCTTCTCCAAGAAGACTTTTGATTGGAGTTCCTTAGGCGCGTCGAGCCACGGACTCTCCAAGCTTCTCGGAGCCTGCTGGTAGCGGTAACGAAGGTTGACAGGGGCTGGAACACACATGTCTGCAGTGCATTCCGCGGCTCTTTGACGCAGTCGGTATCATTCCGATGCGTGAACTTCATCTGGTCCATCTTCTTCGCGAAAACTGCTGGAGGGAGAGGCACCCGCGCGCCGGCTTCGCGCAGGCTGGCCCTGAGTTCGTGCATGTGGAGGCTCTCTTGCAAGAACTTGCAATGCTCATCTAGCAGAATCTAGCATTTGAATGTACCCTCGCATACCTGAGATCCCATCCATTCCATCTCTGCTTGACACCATCCGCGCTTCTCGTATGGGTTGTCGTTCAGGATGAGCTCTGAGATGGGAGTGTCCACCACGGCATCTTGCTCCTATCGCGAGGAACTGGGCTTGCTGAAGGCAAGACTGAAATGCACATGACTTGAGAAGAAAGCAGACTTGTGTCCCGCATTGTCAGACATGTGCGATTCTTTCTGAGATGTGCCCTCAGCACCCCTGAACCAAGCCTGGTATGTGTCTTTGCTGTGGCTGACCAAAATGAAACGGTTTGACGAAACGGCGGCCCTTAACATCCCACTGTCGGGCCCACCTCTACAAACATCCGGATGTCTGCTTGGGCCCTAACTTTCATAACGACTCCTGTCCTCTCTGTACACTGGCAAGTGCGGACGGATATGTCCCATTTCTTCTTTGACCTCCTTTGGCGTCAACTCGGCGAGGATGTAGACCTTGCTGGTAAAGACTCGTATACGAAAGTACTGTATACCATGATGCAGAAGCTTATGGCCTACTATGACGATGCACGAATACTATACTCTGCATCACGAAGGGTTCCAGGCTTAGGGTCCAAAGACTTCACACAGAGGAGGAGAGTTTTTGCCATAGCTTCCCACGACCTGTAAATCCTTTCAATAAACGGTATACGGCAGGCAAGACAATAGAACCACTGGTGCTGCAACCAAACTGAGACTTACGCTGGAAGCATCTGACCCATGTCCCCATTCACCTGCCTTCATGGCCTCATGGGCATAGAGCACGTGCATCTGGTCGAGGGCCTTGCTGAAGACTCCCTGCTGAAAAGCGCTGCGCTTGTACTGGTGCAGCGACGTGTAGTCGATGAAGATCCAGATCTCTGATTGTTGGCCTCGCCAGAACTATGTCCTCACTCTAAACGTGAACAAATCCTAGGAAAAGAAAGCAGGTCGGTCGATGGGAGGGGAGGCAATATAGCGTGGGTGTGCGCATGTATGTATGTATGTATGTGTACATAGCAGAAACAAATATTTGCTGGCTGTAATGACGACCACCGAATGGGGATCTCTCCGTTCAATCGAGGGCCAGCAACTGTTTGTAACAGGTTCGGGTTTTGGGCGGGGATTGAAGACACGGGGCGTTAAGGTTCAGAGCTTTACAGCCTTTCCGATTTTGCAATGTTGACACCACGGGCGGCACCTTGCTTGTGCCGAAAGTGGTCTACTGTCTGCGCCAGCTGGAAGTTCCAAGGGTCAGGGTGCTCCCTGGACTCCTTGGCTGCGTTCAGGCTGTTGATCAGGGCATGCTTATATGAAGTAGGGTACATATTTCTTGTATCCCCAAAAGGACACCCAATATATATACACTCACCAATACTAAAAGGTACCTTATATACACTCACCAATAACAGTAATATAAACCCTGCTTCATATGGGGATCTAACCTAGCCTAACGGCCAAAGGATGGGATTTAGGGTGTTGAGGATTTGGCAGCAAGGGCTGGATCTAGATGGCGCAAGGATGAGGAAACCCCCACGCATGTATGAAGATATGGGTGACAGAACTCAAAGCAGGGGCTTTCAGCGGTCCAACGAAGCTACGCTTTCACAACTCCAAGCTTCCCAGCAGTGCGACAAAGACCCCAAGCGGATCACCTTGTCCGACTTCGTGACAAACTGGTTCTCCTCGACAGACGTATGGAGTTCGGCATGCGGCGTGCACGGCTGATAGCTCAGCTTACATTAGCTGTATCACATGCTGCAGTATATGGTATTGTACGGGATGCAGGAAACTACAGGGTACTATATGAGCACTATTCATGCAGCATGTGTCTGCCTGGATTCTGTCAGCTCAAAAATTCTCAGGCCGAATCGGACGTGTTCGGTCACAGTATTTGTAATCTTACCTTCAGCAAACATGATCCAACCTCTTCATCCAACACATCCTAAAACCATCAACCATTCGGGCGCATTCATGCTCTAAGCTGCTTTATCTTAAAGAGCTAGGTTTGGAAACAAAGCACAGGATGAAGCTGAAAGGCTGAAAGAGCTTTCCCCGGGTTATGTTTTCCAGGATCCTACTTTCATTGTGCTGCTGAAACTTTTTGTGAACCTGCATGCATGACACGGAAGTCCGACACAACCTCGGTCCTTGAAAAGGAGTGATGACAGCTCATCCAGCCTGGGTTCTTGCCAGTTCTGCGGGCTGGCAGACTACGAACATATAGTACGGTATACTATACCGGCCTGAGCCCTGGGATGAGATCTTAACAGGCTTAACAAAAGCATCTCTTCAACATTAAGCCAAAGTTCCGGGAACCACACAAACCCTAAACTCATAAACTCATTCGGAAGCATTTTACGGCAATTATAAGGGGCACGGCACAATCGAACGAGCAACAGCAAGTGAGCAACAGCAAGTCCCAGCGACCACCACCGCCCTGACCACCATTAAATCTGCAACATGAGCCAAAGTTGCTCGACCAGGGCGCTAGCACCCGAAGGCGCCCGTAGACTTTCGGCCTCCGTGATGGAGAATGAAGGGTTTTGGGAGGGAACATTAAGGCCAAGGCTTGAGCTTAAGGGTTTGGGCTCAGTGTCTACATAGGATTTTCCCCCTTGTGGCCGGCAGTGTTCAAAGAGTACCTACGCTTAGGGTCATAGCGGGGCCGCCCGTATGATGGCTCTGGCTTCGATCCTCAAACTAAACCTAGCATGAACTTGAACTACCCATGAGCCTTCATGGGCGGTGGAGAGCACACTAAACACTGCCTGAATCGAAGGTTTCGCAAGATGGCGATTCTAGAGAGCGGTGGAGAGCACACTCAACTAGAGAGCAACGTTGCTTTACATACAAAAGCATGCTGTCGAGCATTAGGGTTTAGGGTTTAGGGTTTAGGGTTTAGGGTTTAGGGTTTAGGGTTTAGGGTTTAGGGTTTAGGGTTTAGGGTTTAGGGTTTAGGGTTTAGGGTTTAGGGTTTAGGGTTTAGGGTTTAGGGTGTAGAATACATTAATATTTTGCCAATCGTGCACGGTATCAAATACAATACATACTATTCCTCGGATTTGTAGGCAGCCTCCTGCCGTCTTGGCAAAGGCTTGTTCATCTCACGCAACTGCTCCAAGAACTCCAAGCGCACTGGCCGGACGTCCTTACAGAATTGGTGAAACTGTTTTGACCATGAGAACTAAGCAGTACTGATCCTAGACCCAGAAACACCCTTACCAATCAACACACATTTCAAAACAAACCCATGTGCCCGGTTGCCGAGAACACTCTCCAAAATAGCCCCTTAATCCACTGCAGAGACACGCATTCCACGAAGTAGGCAACCAGCTTCTGGGGATCAGCCAGATCGTACCCTTCCTCTTGCTCGCCGAGGTCATCCTGCAACCAAGGTGTGCTTTCAGGGTTTCAGGCGTGCACTAGAACGTGCAATCTGCAGTGCAGTGGGCCAACCTGTACAACTTTTCTCGGTGTTGGCCGACGCCATCCCTTGTAAATGATTCCGAAGGCAATGATCAGCGCCACTGTGGACCTGGAGATCGGGTGAATCGGGCGAGTGGGGTGAAGCCGAGTGGCTGAGCGTGTGACAGTGTGGCTGGGTACATATGTCCACTGGGTTTACGGGGTTGGAGCACAGGAAGGCTCTGAGATCAACGAGCATGTGATGGCAGCACATTCATGACCTGCAAGCAGCATAAATACCTGCAAGACATGCTGATGCGAAGTATGAGGAGCAAGAGCGCGAAGAATACGACATATCATCACTACCTGTATTCGAACTGCGGCAGTCGTCGAACTGTGGGTTTGAACGCAATACATACATGAGGAAATCCGCAGGGCCTCCTACACGTAAAGGACTCTGTGAGGGCCTAACCCTAAAACTAAACCCTAAACCCTAAACCCTAAACCCTAAACCCTAAACCCTAAACCCTAAACCCTAAACCCTAAACCCTAAACCCTAAACCCTAAACCCTAAACCCTAAACCCTAAACCCTAACCCAATCCAGTTCGAGGCCTCTTGGCCCTTCCCAGGTCAAGCGCTACTGTTGGGCGCGCAGCCTCACAAGGCTGCGCCTGTTGGCAAAGGCATCCGCGGCTTGCTACAAAGATCGGGCTTGGTGAAAAATACCTTCGAACATCCAGTAGGGCCCTTATTCCCTTTCTTGGGGGTTTAGGGTTTAGGGTTTAGGGTTTAGGGTTTAGGGTTTAGGGTTTAGGGTTTAGGGTTTAGGGTTTAGGGTTTAGGGTTTAGGGTTTAGGGTTTAGGGTTTCGGGTTTAGGGAATACCCTCTCTTAGAGATACTCTGGGGTTGGGCACTCCAGGGACACTCTGGATCTGGCACTCTGGGGACACTCTGGGGTTTGGCACTCCAGGAGACTCTGGGTTGGGACACTCTGGGGCTGGAGACTCTGGGGTTGGGCACTCCGGGGACAGGGAGGCTCTGGGGTTGGGCACAGGGAAACTCTGGGGTGGGGCACTGCAGGGAGACTCTGGGGCTGGGCACTCCGGGAACACTCTGGGTTGGGCACTCTAGGGTCATTCTGGTTGGGCTGGTAGCACTCTAGGGAGACTGTGCGGTTTTGGGCACTCCAGGGACACTCAAGAGTTGGGCACTCCAGGGACACTTTGGGGTTGGGCACTCCAGGGATGAGCGAAGAGTAGACCGGGGCGAAGAGAAGAGTCCCGGGCAAAGAGTTCCGGGCGAGGAGCAGAGTTGAGTTTAAAATCTAACCCCACACCGAGGGTGGGGAAAAACAGAGCAGGTCGTTCATCTCCTGTTATAATAGTAGTGTATAGACTACAGTATCTATCAGAAGATGCTCTGCATTTCAAGCTCGGGAACCGCAAACCCAGAATGCTGCACCGCCAATCTTTCAACACATACCCGCAGATACCCGAAAGTTGTGGTTTTGGGTGCACAAGGTTTAGGGTTTAGGGTTTAGCGGCGGGGTTTCCTCCCAGAATAGCGTGGTACTCGCACTCTGCTTGCAGCATAGAGGCCCAGAACCGGCAGCCAGCGCGAGGAGAAGTTGAAAGCCCTGACACGCGTCCAAAAGGTATTCAAGATAGCATCAGGGTTTGGATGAGGGCCGAGGAGCCCTCACCCGAAATCCCAAAAGCGCTCTCCGCCCATCCCTTACACGCTGCATGGTTCCTCTAGACCCTAAACCCTAAACCCTAAACCCTCCTGCAGCCTGGACTTTAGGCGCTCCAACGTTGCAACCCCTCTTCAGAGCCTCCTCCGGTGCGGTAGGGTCCTGTGCACTCAAAAGCCATCTTTGAGTGTCCGCATTCAAAAGCCACCTCTCAAGTTTAGGGTTTAGGGTTTCGGGTTTAGGGTTTGGGGCTTAGGGTTTGAAATGTTTGGTATTCGTGCGTGTGGGGGCCTTCAAAGTGCCGAGAAAAAGTCAAAACTTCCAGATTGAAAATCACAGACATACGTAGAATTTCAGGCTGCGTGCACAATCCAACTCACCGTGGCCTCCTTTCCGGGTGTGGAGGTGGTGGTGGTGGTGGTGTCCTGCATTCTTCACGACTCTCTGAACTTGTACTGTCAATTGTTATCCAGCAATCTTGCAGGACACGACGGAAAGGGCATCATCATTGCTGTGCGACCTGGGACTACAAAATTACCCTAGTCTTGTTCCCAAATATACCTAATTCTATCACTGCCTGCTTCTGCGATTCGGAACTTAGGGTTTAGGTCCGAAAAAGCAACACACTCACAGGCAACCCAGGCAGAGAAATGTTTGGCATTCGTGCGTGGGGGGGCCTTGAAAGTGCCGAGGAAAAGTCAAAACTTCCAGATTGAAAATCACAGACATCCGTAGAATTTCAGGCTGCGTGCACAATCTAACTCACACCTGGCCTCCTCTCCGGGTGTGGAGGTGGTGTCCTGCATTCTTCACGACTCTCTGAACTTGTACTGTCAATTGTTACCAGGACACGACGGGATAGGATGGGTGATGGAAAGACGCAACTGCCAACCTCCTCTTGCTGGAGACGAACTGTCGCGACGAAGGCATCACCCTTGTGGGCTGAGCTAAGGTCAGGTTAGGAAGTTCAGAGCCGGAATGGGTTTAGGGTCTAGTTCTAGGGTTTAGGGCTGTAGGGTTTGGAGTACAGGGAACTCCCAGCAAGTTTACGATATCAGGGCATTCAGCAGGCAGCCCTGCGAAATTGCGAGGTAGCCAAAGTCTACACCTCAGCTCTCAAAGTTCTCACTCTACAGTGCACTGGGCCGCGGCCACTCTTTTGACTGGCAAAGCGTCTGGAGCCACACGTTGTGGCAGAGTCTTTGTCTAAGCTCTCTTCACACGCCTCCTTGAACTGAAAGTTTCGGAGAAAGTTTCCATTCACGCATAACACACACCTGCAACACAAGCTTTGAAACCTTGGGACAAATGTCGTGTGAGACATTCACATGATTCACACGTTGTCTCCAAAAGAAGTCGTAGGGATTAGGAATCGGCCCATCGAAGGGCAGCGATTCGCATCATCTGCCAAAGTTGAACCAAGGACCAAGGATTATGAATCGGCCCAGTAAAGTACAGCGATTCGGGCCACGCCATGCCCTCCAAAGTGCACTGCCTCAAAGTCCGCCAGAAGTGGGAAACAGACTCCGCAGAGATCAAAGTTTCCTCTGGAGCCTGGGCGTATCGTTGGTAAAAGTCGGGCCTTACCGGCAAGTGCAGGGCATTGGGACGCCCAAAGTCACGGTTGAAAAAGTCTGTCAGATAGTAAGGGGCTATTCTGTGGAAGATGGCCACCGAGTAAGTAAGCATACTGTAGGCAGCGAAAAGGATTTGAACTCCAGCCCCAACCTTTCCGAAAAGATCTCCTGCGGGAACATAAAGTCCCAAAGTCAGGGTCGCTGTCGACGGCGGGAAAGTGAAGCGAGTGCCTTGTATTTCGCTGACCGAAAGTTCCGAAAAGTCGGTATTCCCCAGGAGGGATCGGGCGAAACCTCCTGTAGAAAGCGGCTGAGGGTCCGTGGCACGCCTCAAAGCTCGCTCTGGGTCTCGTTGCAGGATTCCGAAAGCGCGTCCGGTTTCCAAAACAGAACGTCGCAACTCTGCACGCGAAAAAGGTGGGCGAGCCTTTGTGGGAATCACCACTGGAAGTGCCATGTTTGAAAGAACATCGACGACATTCAGCACGGTGACCTGCTCCTCGGCAGGCTTGTCTGTCTGAAAGAAAGCTATAGAGTCCATCTGCAGGACGGGCTGCCTCAACGAAAGTTTCTTGCTATGAGCTTGCTTGCTCTTAGCTTTCAAATAAGCAAGCGAGTGAGCTCATGCTCCAGCCGTTCCGTCAAAGTTGGCTCACCGGGCTGTTTCAAGCCCTTTGGCCTTTGAGCCAAGCGCTCCGGCTGAGCAGCTTCAAGTGGCAACTTCTCAAAACAAGGTAGCGCCAGAAAAGCTTTGCGTCACTTCCTGCGCACCGTACTTGCGCCGCAAGTCACAGTGCCACGTCGGCTCTGCATCAGGACGCATGATCAGAGTCATGCGCTCATTGCCCAACTCTTCTTCAAAGCGCGGGTCTTCTGGAACACACAAAAGTGTTCCGAGATACGTAGTGCACATGAACCCAGAACGACTGAAAGTTTAGCCAGCGGTCGTGCGTGAAGGCCTCTCCAGTTGCAGGCTCATTCTCCAAAAACTGCTCCAACAGGGCCTTCTGGAAGTCAGGCACAGTGCCCGACGCAGCCTGCGCCAAACGCAGACGGAAAGTGGCCTTGCGAACCGCCCTTAAGTGGCGCAGGCTCTTCTGCTAAAGTGTCTTGTGATTGCGTGAAGGCTTTCGGGCGCCAGCGAGTCTACGACCCGTGGATTTGGAGGAAAGTTTCGACCAACAAAGCGCTTCAACAAACTCATTCTTGTTGAAAGCTCCCCTAGTAGGCCGAAGGAACAAAAGTGACCCTTCTGACTATCGGAACTTGGTTCCCACCAGGGCTGAAAGTACCTGAGACTCATTTGTCATCGTCACTTGAAAGCCTTGTCTCAGAAGTCTTTCAACCGAAACCGCACAGTACGGTACATCGCATACGTAAAAGTGAAGAAAGCAAGGCTGGCCGTCAAGGTCAACCTTCACAAGAAGCCTTCTACCATGAACCGTCAAGGGTTGACCCGAAATGGATCTCAAAGGTGGCGGTTTCCCTGAAAGTGGCAAAGCGGCCACTCCGAAGCAAAGTCCTGAGGACTTCAATGGGTCGCTGCTCCTGAGTCGAGAAGTATAGCTGCAACCAAATGTTCCTCCACAGCATGATCCTGGAATGTCATGTTCAGGTCGGACACTCCAAGATCGTGCACACTGAAAAGTTTCTGAGGCAGCGAGTCGTTTCGGTTGGGCGAAAAGTTTCCAACGGTGCCACACCAACCGACGAAAAGGTTGCATGCTTCTCGACATACGAAAAGTCAACATCGCCAGTCAACATGCCTTCAACGGCAAACGACTGACCAACACCCAAGTTGCCAGGCACGAGCGCTGAAATCAAGAGCGAGATCGGGGAAAGTGAGCTCTTGGCTTTGGCTTGGGCGCCGCCTTGGAAAGTCCTGGAGACAGCCGACACTGCAGCGAGCTCCGTGCTGCGAAGGTGGCTCTTCCTTAGGCTGTCGCGGTGACAAAGTCTCCTTTGAGGAGGGTGGCCTCAGGCCACCGCTCATGCCAACCTGAAAAGTTCTGATACGAAAACCAGTCCCAGGAATCCACCAAAAGTCTAGACCTGTCATGCTCCAAGATGACCTCGCGAACCTGCTCATACGTTTGCAAAGTCTTGGCGTTCAAACGAAGGCGCTGCTGCAACTCACCGGTGGTCTTGCTCACAGCAAAGTCGCCACCAAAACTCAATCTGGCAAAGCTTGACCTGCCTGTCTTCACCTTGACTGTTTCCCAAACGTTAAAGCCCTGCTCAAATGTGTTTGGGCCAAAGCCGTCGATATGGCTGCATCAGGCAAAGCAAACTTGTTGAGAAGTCTTCTCCAGGTCTCAAAGCCGTTTGACCCGACGTTCTGACGAACGACAAGTTTCGCCGAATCCTTAACAAGCTGAGAAAGTAGATAATGCAACTTGCGACTGACAAGTACACGACGACATCCACATCACTTGTGTCCAAAGTCACTTCAAGGCGCGCATCTGTGAACTCGGCTGTCAAAGCTTCGGAATTGTCGAGCAAAGTCACTGCGCCTGCTTCGAACATCGAAATGCACGCTTTACAGTTCCATGACCAGTCTTCCCAGTCTGCAGGTTGACCGGCAAAATTGTCTGGGATAGGAAGCCTAAGCTTTCCTGCAAAGTCACCATCTTCTCCTAGAGCTGCCGTTCTACCAAAGTCCTAGAACTTTCAGCTCCGCTACCATGCGAAATTGCGAGGTAACCAAAGTCTACACAAACAACATCAAACAACCCTAAAGTGATCGCGCAACCTCAGCCAACCTCAACTCTCAAAGTTTTCGCTCTAAAGTGCACTGGGCCCCGGCCACTCTTTGGACAGGCAAAGTGTCTTGAGCCACACATTGTGGCAGAGTCTTTGTCAAAGTGCTCATGTCTTCACAAGCACCCGAAAGCAACTAAACGAACAAACCAACAACATCCAAAAACGTCCAGCACGCCAGAGTCTGCGGCTCCACGGCTTTGGTGCCCCTAAACCCTTCCACGACCCTCTCGACATTGCGACAGTGGCCCCGCTTGTTTACACTCATCTGCTCAGTATCCAACCCTAAGCCCCAATATCTGAGGGACAGACGCACAGCTCGCCGATGGGGGCCAAGGTCTTCGCAACGCGGGCACTCTTTTGCCTAACCTGCGCTGCATGAGGGCGCAGTATGTTACATAAAAGCATGGTATACCCGTATACCCTACTATGCCAAAATAAAGAAAGTTAAGGTCGGTATAGCACGCTAACCTTTGTATATTGAAGTCTAGTCTAGTATGGCCGCGAACCCTAGATCTCACTACGGGGCAAATCGTCGGGTCGACTCCTTTTTTAAGACTGGAGACTCGGTTCGCTCTGAGCTCAAGACGTCTGTGGTGGGCAAGACACTCCCTTTATTAGGGGTGAAGTCGGGAAAACATCGAAGAGCACTAAGATCAGGGTCCTACGAGTAGGGTCCTACAAGCAAAATCACACGGACTCGGCTCTATACAAAAGCCTCCAACATGGGTGATTAAACCCCTAAACCCCTAAACCCCTAAACCCCTAAACCCCTGAACCCCTGAACCCCTAAACCCCTAAACCCCTAAACCCCTAAACCCCTGAACCCCTGAACCCCTGGTTATTGATGGCTAGTGATTGGTCCACAAGCCATGGACTTGGGGAGTGAGCTCAGGGTGATGCGGGGCTTCACAGGGCTTAGCAAACTGGAGATAATTAGTGTCTCGAAGTGCGGGTTTAGGGTTTAGGGTTTAGGGTTTAGGGTTTAGGGTTTAGGGTTTAGGGTTTAGGGTGTAGGGTTTAGGGTTTAGGGTTTAGGGTCTAGGGTCTAGGGTTTTCGGGCCAAAAGGAAATTGAATCCTGCCGCCCACCTCGCGTGCCAGGCGATTGGCCAAGTCGTCGGGAGAACCCCACACAGAATCATTTGCACCTGGGGCTTTGCAGCCACAACTCCATGACACGTGAAATAAGACCTTTGCATGTGCCGAGAAGAAGCGCTTCAGTCTTCTGAATGAAACTTCGACTGCTTCTCACCAGCAGACCAAAACAAGGTCGAGCACAAACTCCACGACAAAAACCAAAGGAGTCCTGGACCTGGATCCTCAATTCTGTCAAGCCTCTTTCTAACTCCTAAAGCCATAAAGACCCTCATAAATTGCACATATAAGACCCCTGAAGCCCCAAGCCCGAACCCTGCATCTCAAATCTCAAGCCCGACCTTGCAAGCGGCGCGTTGTCGAGTTCATCTTTCCTAGCAGAGTATGCCGCTGCAGCTTGGGTTCTCGCATAATCCCCCCCCCCCCCCCCCCCCCCCCGTCTCCCCTCCCTCCCCCCCCCAAAACGAACCGGAACCATTGCATGTTCGTTTCCGCCCATGCCAGCCTGTATACTATAGTATGGCATCGCAAAGTATCGTACTGAGCACAGTGCGCACGTGTGCACACTAGTATACCGACAAGTAAAGCTATTGTTCGGTGTTGTCCTGTTCTTCAGTATTGCTTACTACCCTGCACCATAGCATACCACGCCAGCAGTATAGTATGACTTATGTAGCTATCTGGTCTTGAAAGGATCCAAAGGACGATGTAGTGATTCTTTGGGAAAGTTAGGGCCGGGTCCTTAAGGAGCACCACGGAACATCCGAGCATACCCACTAACTTACCCACGAACCTTGAAGGGCTTTAGGGTTCTTGGGCCCCCCGATGAAGGCTCGGTCCTGGGCCAGTGATCACGAACCTGGGCTTCAGAGGAGGGCGGAGGATGTTCTACAACATGCGACGATATCCAGTACTGTATGTTCGGTATACTACGTGCCGCTATGTAGTACTGTACTGCCATACGATTCTACTGCACAAGCAACTTCAAGACCACAGCAATCACGTGCAAGAGAGACGGGGAGCTCAACATTTTCCCAAACGAACACTGCGATCGACGTCATCCTTAGTCCAGGACGCAGAGGCATATGCTGCAATACTGCAATATAATATGCTAGAGTACATGCGAAAGTAGCACTCTTGAATCCTGGGCCTCCGTTCGGGCATTGCCTTTGGATCGAAATCTCACGGCATCAAAGGCTCCAATGGGGGATCTCAAGCAGGGACCGGAGCTCGATTGCGACATTCGGCAGTGACTCAAAAGCCGTTTCTGTGCGCCTTGGCAGTTGTTCTCCACTTGCAGTCTGACATGCCTCCTACAACCCTTTACCTGGGCCCCCAAATCCTTGTGAGAATGTGGCAGTGCGGCGGTTTGGCGCTTGGGGGTGGGCTTTGGGCGGCCTTGTGTGCAACTGGTGTAGTTACCCAGGGTCCCTGCAAGGGATCTGCGTGCCATGTGCTAAAGGAGGGTTTCTGAGGGTGCCGTCCCGGACAATTTTTGAAGGCTGGCAAAAATCTTTGCCTACAGCTCTGAGTAGCCCAGCTGAATGCAGGCTCCTCTCCGAAACTTACATGTATTGAACAGGAGGAGTCACTTTACCGACATGGCTCGTACAAAAGCTACTGTCCTGCTGCCATGCAAGGTTTCGGGCTGAGCCAGGTCATGCGCGCACTCAACTTTGCCAAAGCCCAAACCTTGAGCTCTTGAACTTCGCGCCTGACACCTCCAAATTCTAAACCCTGGAGGCCATAGACCTTAAAAATTGAACCTGGGTCAGCAAAACACCCGCACCCGCCCAATCCCGGCGCGCAGTAGGGGCCCAACTCACATATGCGGATGGTCCTTAGATGCGTCATGCACAACGCACAACGGCCCGGCTACAATATGGAAGCTGGATGCCTACCATTCGGGACAAAGTACGAGTAGGAAGTTGGACAGCTGTCCTCTCTCCTCTTCTGCTTCCCGCTCTTGCCCACTCGCCTTTGTTTTACTCTTCTTATCCTCTATGCTTCTCCTTCCAAGGCATATGATGCGGTATTCCTTCACCAACCCGTCCCGGTCGCAAATTCTCTGTTCCTTACCAAGGAACTCGCTCTTCTCCAGCTGGTTAATGAGCTTGGTGACCATATTCACCATATCTCTTCTCTATTCCTACTTCTCCTATTTCCACCTTCCTCTGTGAAAGCTTGCGGAGGCAGCAAATAAACACCAGCCCCTCTCGCTCTCCCTACTCGCTGCTGTAGCTTTAACACGAAACGCAAGAAACTGTTCTTGCAAGTGACACGCGCGGCACTTGCTCACTGAAAATTTGCTGCTATTCCCGGGCGCAAGTTGCACAAGGGTTCTTTCCTATAGAATCCTGTCAACATCTGCCGTTCAGGAAATTAGTTGCTATTGGCGTCCCAGTTTGCCCCCAAATTTCACTGAAAACCCGTTAACCAGGTATGTCCTCGTTTGTCGTGGGCACGCCGGGCTTTCCATTCGGTCCGGGGCCTTTAAAATTTTCCAAAGTGGGGGCCTCCTAAGGGGTAGGCCAGGCGCAGATGACTTGGGCACCTATCCTGCAGGCAAATCGTAGGGAACTGACCTTTTTCTACAGCTGCCAAAAGTCCGGAAGCACTTAGAAGTATCTTGCTCAAGCGCATACAAATCCGCATCATACTTGCTAGAAATCTCCAAAATTGCTTCTCGTGGTTACGCCGGGCTTTCCATTATTCCCGCAGGCTGGATTATTCTCAAGATCTGGCATTGAATTGGGGTTTAAGAAAGGGTAGGCAAAACACAACTTTGCATCGCAACGTTGCATGTCCGGGCTTCCGGGTGCCAAAAGCTTCCGAACAGCTAAAGCCTAGCAGAAGCTCCAAAAACCTGCAGAAAAGCCTTCAGAAAGGCGCCAACAAGCTGCTTGAAAGGTTCAAACACGCTCCAAATCTGGCTTCCAAAGACAAGCTCCAAAATGACTTCAAAAAATCTCCCAAAACCTTCCGAAAGGCCCACAGAAGGTCCTAAAGGAGCCGATTTGAGGAGTACTTGTACACAACTGTCCATTTCGGGGTTTGCGAAAATGCCTACACAAAAAAACTCCCAACAAGCCTTTCCAAAAAGCTCCAAAAAGAACCCAGTGTAGAATTTGGCCACAAAGGGGTCGACTGCAGCACGAATTTCGCACAACGTTTTCATTTCCCGGCTTGCGGGTTCCGAGACGAAGCCTTCGGAAAGGCTCCAACAAGCTCCAGAACAGCTTTCAAAAGCCTTCTTTAACATGGCTTCTGAAGGCTCCGACAAAATCAGACTACTTTCCTTTCCGGGTGCAAGAAGCCCAACAATGCACAATTGGCGAAAACCAAAGCTGCAGGGAAGAACAAAACCATCGGGAATTCGGGAAAGCATGGGGAGCCGAGCATAAGTAGGAACAAGATGGAACAAGTAAGGGGGTTAAAGAGTTGTTGAGCAGGCTGCAGTGAGTAAGGAAACCCTCGGGAAGTAGGGAGCCTTTTCCAAAAAGCGAATGATAAAGCATCCGAGAATTCGAGAAACCTGAAAACAAGCAACTGTCCTGCACAAAAAGACTAAACTTCGAGAATCGGAGAAACACATTGGGGAACGCTCAGCTTCAAGTCTCTGCCAAGCTTCTTTTGCTTTACTCCATGCAGCACAGGAATTTCCATTTTTATGGGTGCCGATTTGCCCCCCAACCCCAAGAACCCCCTGAAAGCCTTAACCCTTAACCCTAAAGCCTTGACCCTAAACCCTAAACCCTAAACCCTAAGCCCTAAACCCCAAACCCTAAAACCTTGACTTCACTGCTGCTCAATGGCCCTGTTTGCCAACACATTTTAGGGTGATAGGATTAGGGGGACCCTTGGGGACATAGGGTTTAGGGTTGAGGGTTGAGGGTTTAGGGTTTAGGGTTTAGGGGTTAGGGTTTAGGGTTTAGGGTTTAGGGGGACCCTTGGGGATATAGACCCTCTGAATAAGGTCCCTGTTTAAGAGAGCCAGAAGAGGGTTAACAAGGGTTCCCCTTTTAGGGCCCCTTATCCTACCTAGGACACATGCCCTTTGCTGTCAACTTTTTCAAAGTTCAAAAGCGGAAGCTGATGTTTTCTTGAATGTGGATGACTTCAGGACTCGGAGTTGCAAACTTTTGACTCCTTGGAAAAGAAGAAGCATGACTTGTCCACATGCGAGATGGAGTTCCGAGAGGTCTTACATCCTATCCCATTCCCTGTAAGATGTCCCGACAGTACTCCAGTGCTCCTTCGGGTGTAGCTGAAAAATCATACGTTGGTTGCCTGACTTCAGCGTGGAAGCGGTTTCCTGCGTACTCTCCTAGCTCGAACCCCACGAAAGCAATTCAGCGTCGCCAATCGTACTGCTCAGCGGCAAACTCGAACATCACGGACTTGATGTGGCAAGGTTAAGTATCTTTGTTGCATTTCTTCCAGGACTTGACTTGTCCTGCGACCAAGGAGGTTCCTAGCTCCAGTGGCATCATCGCACTTCTTTTGGAGTGCTGCGCGACCATGTTAAAAAAACGGAGTTTTCTTATGGGCTCTACCTGCACTTTTATCCTTTATCTCGCTGGTGAGGTGGGCGGGTCCTTTCAGTTTCAAAGCTTCCATGTTCATCACCCATTGGCCTGCGACTCGAAAGCTTAACAACCCTTCAACAGGCTTTCCAGATTTTGCAGGTCCAAGACAATCGCTCGCGCATCACCTCGAACTTGCACAACGTACTGCCTAGTCGTCCTCAAGAGATTCTTCCGAATTCATCCTAGTTATTTCCCAACAAAACGCTCGTTTGTTCTTCTCCGGTAAATGGACCATTCCCAAAAAAATAGCTGGGCACCTGGTAGCAAACCTGAATCCTGAACCCTAAACCCTAACACGAAACAGCATCCTGTTCATTCCAAGGGGCACTTGTGAAGTCTCCAGGACCTGCGAAGTAGTGAGCCTGTTGGCCGTCCGGCTCAGATCGCACTTCCACCACACCGGTATGAATGCTCCGGATTGACCTGCTTGTGGCGAAGTGACTATGGGGGCTTACGATATTTGGGTACCTTATTTGGGGTCCTGATTTTCAGGGGATCCTACAATTTGGGAGTGTATATGAAGTGTCCCTTGTATTCATAAACTCCCATATAAGGTTTGAAGTTTTAGGAGGGCTTTGGGTTTGAAAGGTTTCAGGACATGAAGCGTCACGGATCTCCTTGTGGAAGGTGTGTGTGTGTGTGGTTTAGGGTTTAGGGTTTAGGGTTTAGGGTTTAGGGTTTTGGGTTTTGGGTTTAGGGTTTTAGGGTGTAGGGTGTAGGGTTTAGGGTGGGTGTGGGTGTCTGGAACTGAAAGTTCACCCGGCTTCGCAGATGAATGTCGTTTGCCGTTTTGTTGGCTTGGGCAACGAATACACTTTGTTCTACTAGATAGGGGTTTAGGGTTTAGGGCTTAGGGTTTAGGGTTTAGGGTTTCGGGTTTAAGGTTTCGGGTTTAGGGTTTAGGGCTTAGCTAAACCCTAAACCCTAAACCCTAAACCCTAAACCCTAAACCCTAAACCCTAAACCCTAAACCCTAAACCCTAAACCGCTTTCAGTTGTGATCCGGCTCGTGCAACTAAACATGCTGAAGATGCTGCGGCTTGGGGCTTGGATGCAACGGAAACCTCCCTAAAGTGCCCTTGGCCTGACCCAGCCCTTTACGGTTTAGGGTTTAGGGTTTAGGGCCCAGGGTTTAGGGTGCCCTCTATTTGAAGACCCTACGCCCTCAATCCAGATGGCGCCCGCTGTGGCTCGGGCAACTCTTCATTGACACGCCCGGCTTGCAAGCATCAGGTGGAAAACAACCTGCAAATACATAGTTCACCGAAATTGGGTGTCTTCCCTACACTACCACGAAATGGAGGCTCAAGGAAGTCTTGAGATGCATGAGTAGGATAAGACATGTTGGCACAAATAGCCTGAGAACGATGGTGACCATGAATCTCCCTTCATTGACAAAAGCTAAAATTAAATACGCTTCATTAAAAAGTTTTAGAATGTTTTAAAATGTGCATTAAAATTATGTAAAATTATAACAGAAGATTTTAGTTGCATTGTGTTTAACTTTCTTAGTTTCCATAAAAAAACTGATATGAAGTAGGGTACATATTTCTTGTACCCCCAAAAGGACACCAGGTATATACACTCACCAATTTCAAGAGGGAACCTTATATACACTCACCAAAAACAGTAATATAAACCCTACTTCATATGATATTGAAGAATGAAATCACATTCTCAATGTTGTTGAGTGAAAATTAACAAAAATCAATTTGTTAGGTGAAACGGCTCGCTAAGCTTACGCTTGATCCAAAACACTAACGCTACACTAACACTCGAAAGCATGCACAGGTGCACTACCACTGCTGCGAAGCAACTACAGGACCAGGAGCTAAGCCCTTCAATGCCTTTCAACCTTCACAGTCGCCCCCTTGCTTAGAGCATCGTAGTGTCCGGCACCCTCAGGACGCGGTCAGGGCTTCAGCACCATCGGCCTGGAGGACCCCGTAACGCATCGCGCTGTCATGCCGTCGCCCCCAGACTCTTCTCGAGTCAAAAGGACTGTGGCATGAAGTGAGCCCCTCAGATACGCAAGCCCGAGCGGAAACCCCCTCACGGTCCTAACCAGTCCTGCTTGTCGCACCATCTGTAGCACTCGCAACTGCTCCCTAGCGCCACTCGCTGCCTGACGTTTGTCTTAGAGCTCGCTCTTTATCCTGAGGCTTCGCGGGACTCAGTCGCTCCACGGCCGCCGCGAGCTTTGACACTTCGTTTTCCAGCCCCGCTAGGCGGTCGCGCTGCGGGGTCGAGCTACGCATGCACCTCCGGAGCCGCGACTTGGCCATTCGAGCGCTGTCCCCTAGACCTCGCTAAGGCCTGAGTCGCCTTCAAGCCCAACCCGGCCCAACAGTCCGTTGGCGTGACCCCTGTTTCGCCCTTCGAACCCTCTTCAACGGCCCCTTCCTCTTGGAAAGTCAAGCTCCGCTTCGGCAGCATTGGGTTTTGCTGCACTCTCTTCAGGAGGCTCGAGGCGGGTTTTCAGTCGCCGCGCTCCAGCGCTGGGAGGAAGTGTCGATGGACTGCGAAGGTCCGATGCTTCCGGCTGATGCTCATGGAAATCGTTTTATCCCTGTCCTACCTTGGATTCGCTATCGCATTCCGTGACGCTGGAGCCTTTCAAGGACTTGTCTCACACTGAAGTGCGGCGAGCCTTCGTAAGGCCAATATTCAGGTCAAGAACGTTGCCGAAGCTGCTCTGCTGCTACGAACAGACTGTGGACAGGAATTCCGCAGCGTGCTAATGCAGTTCTGCGCGATCGTCGGTATCCGCCAACGCTTCTCGAGCCCGATGAGGCCAATGGAGATGGGATCTAATGAGCGGATGATGCATCCCCCCCCGCGCCCCGCGCAAAATGAAAAGCCGCACTTTGTCATACCCTAAACCCTAAACCCTAAACCCTAAACCCTAAACCCTAAACCCTAAACCCTAAACCTTGGACACTCCTGCAAAGCACAGCACAGCTTGGTATATTGTTCTCTTTGAAACACCGCGCCCCCCCCAACCCCCTGCTTCGTGCCATCGGCCGCGTTTTTCTGCCTCTTCTCCTCCCTACTACTTGTTTGTTGTGGAATGTGCACCCTCAACCCTAAACCCTAAACCCTAAACCCTAGACCCTGAACCCTAAACCCTAAACAAAGCTCTGGACCCCCTGCTTCTCCAAGCACGGCAGAGGCGGGCCGCGTAGCGTCAAAACTAAAACGGGCCCACAACGTTCAAACGCAGGAGGCTTAGGGTTTAGGGTGTAGGGTGTAGGGTGCAGGGTTTAGGGTTTAGGGTTTAGGGTTTAGGGTTTGGAGTTTAGGGCACGAACTGGCGCCACTGAACCAAAATCCCCAACACGAAGATGCGGGAGTAAACAAGCCACCTGTGCTCTGTCGATAGACCCCTGGCGGGAGGAAATCAATCCTCAGTGCGGGGGCCAGTCACAAAAACCTGCTTGCATTGGATGCATTGATGGATCAACCTTGGGGCTAGAACGTAGGATATCCTGATTGCATCAGGTTGCAAATTGGAGAAATAGAGTTAAATCAAATGTATCACCGAAGCAACCAACCCCACGCCATGAACCAGCTGCCGAAAACTACTGTGTGTTTCAGCTTTTCGTCAGCTTCGGGACGGCCAAAACCAAAGGTTTGGGGAGACAAGGGCCAAGTGCCCTGAAGTAACGCGCAAAACTCAGACTCAAAATCCCGAATTTCCCACCGGGTTCTTAGCCCTAAAACCTTGGTTGGGACCATGTTGGACCCAGCGGTACCTTGTCCTGGTGAAACAAAACACACGGCATGTCTGTTGCAGCATACTGCGCCGGGCCGATAGTTCGACCCACCAACATCTTGGGGTTCTGACGCCCTTACCCCGCCCTCTTCCCCATAGACTCCTGACACAATGGGGCTGGGGGCCTCCTCCGGAGCTTCTATAGTACTATATTTTCAAAACGGGGTATTAATTTCTCCGCTAGCAGGCGCAGGGAAAATGCGACTTTTCGGCACTCCGCTACTCCGCGGGAGCCTTCACTGTCTGTGTGCCATCCAACATGTGCCGTGGGTCGAAACTTTCGGCCCGGGGGTGCCTTCCGGAAGCATTTTTCGAAGCCGACGGCCTCCTGCAGCCCCTTGCGCCATGCCTGCCAACCTGAAGCAACGCGCTAAGCGTGCGCTGGTGACCTTGTTGCTGGCTCTGGCCGGTGCATACGGGCTGCAGGTGACCCTCACGCGGGAGTCGACAGATGTCGAGGTGACGCGGGTCTTCCGGCGAGTGTCCATCAAGGTGCATCCCGACAAGGGCGGCGCAGCCGCAGACGCGCAGCGCCTGAATGCTGCAAGGGATGCGTGGGTCCAGGCGAGCCAGGGCACAAAGCCGCCAGGCCGACCTGCCCATGCGCAGGCAGGGCCAGTGTCCGCAAGCAGTGCCGTCACTAACGGGCGCGAAGGCTTGCGCATTCGCTCCGAGGCGGTGCTCCTGACATATCAAAGCTGGCCGGCCGGGGAGGCGCCTGGTGCATGGCAGAGGTTCTGCGTCTTTGTGGCCGCCTCGGTGACGGCGTGGACTGTCAAGCACTGGGCGGCGACGATGGAGCAGACCTCCGGCGGCGACTGCCACCTGCACCTCATGGTCCAATTCACTTCTGCAGTGGACTGCGGCTCCGCCCGCTTCATCTTTGAGGGCGTGCGACCCAACGCCAGCCCCAACGACTACCTCGGCGAGGGCGTCTGCCGCAACAAGCTGCAGCAGTCCATCAACCGCGGCATGTTCTACGTGTGGGCTGACAAGGTGGGGACGCTGCGCTTGCCTTCCGGCGAGACTTGCGTCGCGGCCAACTACGAGCCATGCTGGACTGAGGCTCGGCGAACCTACCAGGTCCTGGGAAAATGGCCAGAAGCACTGTGGAAACAGCGGAAGCTGACATCGGCCAAGTACGAGCAGTACCTTTTCCTGACGCGGGACGGGGTTCTGGCGCGGAAGCGCAACCTGGATGCAGTTCGCGAGCATGAGGCCGCCCTGGCTGACGCCGCCCTCATCGAGGCCACCACGAAGAGGCTTCGATCGAACCCAGAGGTGTACCGGGCTTTCCCGGCAGTGCCCGCGGCAGAAGCATGGTTGGCGACGTTTCGTGAAGATCGACTACGCTATCCACTGCTCATCGTCCACGGGCCCTCCCAGACAGGGAAAACAGAGTGGGTGAAGTCCTTGTTCAAGCGCGCGCTGGAGCTCAAAGTGGGGAGTCTCGACATCTTCCCAGAGGGGATGCGCGCCTTTGACAGGGACACCCATGATGGCATCATCCTGGACGATGTGAGGGACCTGAAGTTCATTGCGGAGCACCAGGACAAACTTCAGGGCAAGTACGACACGCGTGTCGAATTTGCCACGACTCCTGGCGGCACGTGCGCGTACCGGAAGTACCTCTTTGCAGTGCCTGTGGCAGTCACCATCAACAACAGCACACGGAACCTCGACTTCCTGCGCGCGCATGACTGGCTCGGCTCCGAGCGCAACCGCGTCCTCGTCCACTTCCCTGACATCTTGGCACAGGTCTGAGGGTCCAGCCTCGAGACATGTTTCACAGCCACTGCATCCCAGGAGCCAGCCAGCACGGTGGCGCAAAAAGAGGCGGCTCGAGTGCCAGAGTCGCAGGCGACATCATGCGACACGCGCAGGCGCATGCTCCTGCGTCTGCGCTCGCGGCATGGGTGCTAGCATCTCCATGGCCGTGTGCATTGTGGGTCCTATCGCGCCATCCCTGGCCGTGTGCATTTTCGGTCCGAAGCCGTGTGCGTTTTGGGTCCAAACGTGCGCCGCAGCCTGGGCCGTGTGCGTTTTGGGTCCGAACGCGTCAGCCGCTCCGGTCACCGTGTGCAGGTTGGGTCCTTGTCGCGCCAGCCCGGGCCGTGTGCGTTTGTGTGCGTTTTGGGTCCGAAGCCGTGTGCGTTTTGGGTCCAAACGTGCGCGCAGCCTGGGCCGTGTGCATTTTGGGTCCTAACGCGTGAGCCGCTCAGGTCGCCGTGTGCATCTCGGGTCCTTTCGCGCTGTGCATCTTGGGACATGTGGCTGCGCGAGGCAGTTGGGTGGGCATGCCGGTGCGTCCTGTGGTTCCTCACGCCTTGACCATGCAGGGACATGCATTGCTAGCGTCGGAAGGTACTGACAGGACCAGCCCACATGCGTGCCCTCGCAGCTGTCTCGGCACCATGCCCCTTGTGCAGGAGGTGAGGCACCCACAGTCGCTCAACTTCGCGACTGAGCGCCAGGTTGTGGTGCTGCGGGAGGTGCATGGCTGCGCGTGGGAGGACATCCGTTCCCGGGTGCGGAACTTGCGCGGGGAGCGGCCCAGTCTGTCGCTCCTGAAGCGAGTCTACAAGGGCTTCAGCCAGGCAAAGGGGCGGCGACCGTACAAGTACCAGAACTGCGGTCGCCGACCCGTCAAAGCTACCAAGGCCGTGCAGAAGTTCCTGGTGCAGCGCTTGCTCGCCCTGCGCATGCACTGTGTCTGCACCTCTGGCACCTTGCAGCGAGAACTGCTCGCGAAGCGGGGTGTGCAGCTGGATGAGTCGGCCATCCGCAAGGCACTGCGTCGCCAGGGATACTTCTGGCTACCAAAAGCGCAGAAGCGCAAGTACAGTGCAGAACGCCGGCAGGAGCGCCTCCGCTTTGCACGGAGCGTGGTGCAGCTCAGTCGGGCCCGCCTGCGAGAGAAGCTTTCCTTCTCCATGGATGGGGTCCTGCTGTCGCTACCGCCACGGGATCCCACGGACCGCCGCAATTATTGCGCCCACGGGGATGGCTACATGTGGCGGCAGCGCGGGGAGGCTGGAATGGAGCGGCTGGCTGGACAGAACCCGTACCCGTCACAGGTGCCACGTGCTCGAGCCGTGCCACTCTGGGGTGGGCTGTCAGAAGGGGGCTTCCGCACAGTCGCCTTCCACAAAGCACGCAAGTTCACTGCAGAGGAGTGGTGCCGCGTGGTCCAGACCGGGAAGCTCCAGGCCGCCATAACAGCGCTGCAGCCAGTGCAGCGACACGGCCCCTGGAAGGTCTTGTGCGACAATGAGGCCTTCCTGCACACGGCCGCCAGCAGGCATGCCATGGCGGCCAAAAACATCACGCTCTGGCCGGTCCCGGCATCATCGCCGGACCTGAACCCTGTGGAGAAGTTCTGGGCGTGGCTGCGAAGGCGCCTCCGCCACCTGGATCGGGAAGACCTCCGCCGCAAGCGCCCGCCCATCGGCATGCTGGCCTTCAAGGCGCGAGTCCGCGCGGTTTTGGCCTCACAGCGTGCCCAAAGGGTGGCCTCGCACATAGCCGCGGGCTTCAAAAAGACCTGCAAGGAGGTCGTGTCGAAGAAGGGCGGCATGGCCAGATCCTAGCAGGCGTTTCACCCGCACTGTGCATGCCACGGACTCTCGCCGCCAAAACGCATGCTGCGCCGGGCCGATAGTTCGACCCACCGACATCTTGGGGTTCTGACGCCCTTACCCCGCCCTCTTCCCCATAGACTCCTGACACAATGGGGCTGGGGGCCTCCTCCGGAGCTTCTATAGTACTATATTTTTAAAACGGGGTATTAATTTCTCCGCTAGCAGGCGCAGGGAAAATGCGACTTTTCGGCACTCCGCTACTCCGCGGGAGCCTTCACTGTTTGCGTGCCATCCAACATGTGCCGTGGGTCGAAACTTTCGGCCCGGGGGTGCCTTCCGGAAGCATTTTTCGAAGCCGACGGCCTCCTCTAGCCACTTGCGCCATGCCTGCCAACCTGAAGCAACGCGCTAAGCGTGCGCTGGTGACCTTGTTGCTGGCTCTGGCCGGTGCCTACGGGCTGCAGGTGACCCTCACGCGGGAGTCGACAGATGTCGAGGTGACGCGGGTCTTCCGGCGAGTGTCCATCAAGGTGCATCCCGACAAGGGCGGCGCAGCCGCAGACGCGCAGCGCCTGAATGCTGCAAGGGATGCGTGGGTCCAGGCGAGCCAGGGCACAAAGCCGCCAGGCCGACCTGCCCATGCGCAGGCAGGGCCAGTGTCCGCAAGCAGTGCCGTCACTAACGGGCGCGAAGGCTTGCGCATTCGCTCCGAGGCGGTGCTCCTGACATATCAAAGCTGGCCGGCCGGGGAGGCGCCTGGTGCATGGCAGCGGTTCTGCGTCTTTGTGGCCGCCTCGGTGACGGCGTGGACTGTCAAGCACTGGGCGGCGACGATGGAGCAGACCTCTGGCGGCGACTGCCACCTGCACCTCATGGTCCAATTCACTTCTGCAGTGGACTGCGGCTCCGCCCGCTTCATCTTTGAGGGTGTGCGACCCAACGCCAGCCCCAACGACTACCTCGGCGAGGGCGTCTGCCGCAAGAAGCTGCAGCAGTCCATCAACCGCGGCATGTTCTACGTGTGGGCTGACAAGGTGGGGACGCTGCGCT